GATTGGGGATCACCCCTGCTCTAGGCAGGTGTGATCGAACTTGTCTAAAATGACAGCATTTCTTTCATTATATAAAAGGAGCTAACTTTTTCAGCATCAAAGGTAAGTCCTAAAGATATCTAAATCAAATCTTTCGTAAGTTCCATGCACGTTTTATTCCAGTGCATGTGGATTTGCCTTGAAAAAGTATGTAAATAGAGACCCATAAACTTTCGATTTCCCAAAATTCAACGATATTTCTCGTTACATAAATTGATATGACGAAAGCAAAGAAATGAAGAAGTTAAAACAATGCAGTAAACTTCTATGATTCTTCTTATCGATTGATTTTGTGAAGGAATTACTACGATATGAACTCCATAGTTAGCTCTAGAATATAAGCTTCCTCTTGTTCATTGTGTCACTTACTTATCTACTGAGCTCGATTTACTGATTTTCGAACATGTACAACTGCTAGATGCTTACAATTCATTCAATTTCTTATTTCATTTGTTAAAGAAGTGATAGGTCAATCGCTAGGAAATTATTGAGTTTTCTTGTTCACAGCTTTGCTCGCAGTTTTAAGGACCTTTTTAGCAGCCTTCTGTTTATACAGGCGTGAGCGCCATGGTGCTAAGGTTAGTGCATCGGCAAGATATGGAAAGTGTAGTCCTAAGCCATGATGCAAGTGTCCGTTTTCGGAAACTACTGATGTGGCAGAAGCGTGACCACTTTCTAAAAAATTAATAAGTAATTATATTCAGAAAGAATTAAGACCAAAGCACAAACCCTTAGCATAAGACTTTGCCACATTGTGAACCGCCGCAGGGGGATGATAGTAATGACCATACTTTAAGAAGAAGCTTTTGAATTGAAAAGAATGTGGCTTGAAATATGACCCCATACCGGAAACATATGGTGGTAGCTTAACGCAGGAAATACAGGGGCAGTAGGAACAGATGCAACTAAAGGTGCAATTGAACCAACTGAAGCATATGCTACGGGAAGGTGTTCCGGCTCCACATCAAAAACGGGTCCTTCTGAAATTGACTCGATAAAAAATTACTACAAGCCCGCAATACTGAAGAACTGTTGAAACCTTCTTCCGA